GAAATATATTTATGTTTGTGGTTGTAATGTGACAAAATATGGAAAAGTTCAAGGGGTATGAATACTTTTGCAAACCACTGTAATTGAGTCAATTGGTTTTACTCAAAATGTCCACAGACCTACTCACTCTCTTCATCACATTCTTGATCTGATTCTGACGTATGGTGTAGAGAGCAAGAACTTAATGATATATCTTCACAATCTGTTCTCTCTGACCATTTTTAATAACCTTTGACTTTACATTAGCTAACTTTATAGCTACTGAGAGTAAATTTCATTATTGTACAGGGCTAATCAACTGGCATCCCATGGGCCACATCTAGCCCACGAGTGACCAAAGTTCGGCCCGCCAATTGGTTTATTCATCTCTTAAGCCCAAACCCCCGGTTTTCTACAGTTCTTTTAGTTAAATATAGACATGTTTGGTGTCCACAGAAATGCCAGAATCTTGGCTACAAGCTGGTAAAAACATTTCTATAAACACTCAAGACAGTTGAAGATAAAATGATGAAAGTGAAAATAAAATTGGTTTAAAAATTTGGCAAGTCAGAGATGTCAAAATAATATTTGTGTCTAGTAATAGGAGGCATAATGTGTTTTTTGTTTTTGATAATGTGTAATTATCACTACTTTTATAGGGTTCTGTTTGCTGTATTCATGATTAAATGCAGCAAAATAACCTAATTCAAAGGTAACATATCTTTGTAATACTTAGTTTATTTACATAATAACTAATTGCTGGGTGTTCGGCCCCTCAGCTGTTGACCGGCAGTAACTGTGGCCCCCGGAGCAGTTTAGTTGAATAGCCCTGTTTTAGTAGATGTTCTATATAGTATCTGTAAGACAGAGGAAAATAAAGATGGAAGAAATTCATTAAATTTAGCTACAGCATTCTCTGATAGAATCTCTTCCATCTTTATTTTCCTCTGTCTTACAGAATAATGTAACAGAGAACAGTAACTTACATGGTCTTGTTGATAATATTACAACTTTAATGCAAACCTCTCTTGATGGAACTGCTCCACTAAAAAGAAAGTTATTGATCGGAGGAAGCCAACTCCTTGGTTTAATTCAGAGTTACGTTCTTTAAAACAGACATGTAGAAAACTGGAGAGAAAATGGCGCTCCACTAACATAGAAGAATCTTATTTAACCTGGAGAGACAGCCTGTTAACATAAGAAAGGCCTTCGTAAAGCGAGAACTGTATATTATTCATCTTTAATAGAAGAGAATAAAAACAATCCCAGGTTTCTGTTCAGTTCTGTAGCTAGACTAATGAAAAGTCCTGTCTCTGTTCAACCATGTATCCCTDTAACTCTAAGTAGTGATGACTTCATGAGATTCTTTATAGATAAAATAATTTTATTAAGGAATAAAATTCATGCCAAACTTCCTGCTACTGTCTCTGATTCTGTCAGATGAGGCAGCTTTAGTGTAACTAGAACCTGATTTATGTCTGGACAGTTTTTGTCCTGTTGAGCTCTGAATT